CTTGAGTTCATTTGGCTTTGATTTTCTCCTTTTTCCCCGTAGATATTGTGCTTTTCATTCACTGTTATCGGTTAACTGGCTTAAATGTCCTCGCCCAAACCAAAGTATAAAATGTGGCGTGTTTTTGACCAGCCAATAGGAACGTTTGTTTACTTTTTTTTGAGTGCGTTGTGAGAATTTTGCTCTCTATCACAATAAGAGGCTTCTTCGCGCAGATCCTTGTTGTCGCTCGGTTATAAAAGAATTTGCTCATGCTTTTAGCTGTGCGTATATCGAGTTATGGATGCACTTGGGAAGTTTGGAGAGCACTCAAACAGCTAGAGTTGCTCTCGGCTGCGCCTCGAGCTACTCTTACGCATTTTTCGTGCTCTCCAAACTTCCCGCGTGCATCCATAACTTGATATAAGCACGCTAAGCAATTTCTTAATTATCAGGTCGTCCTCACCAGTTTTTTCCTGTGCAATTACGCGTCTTATTAATCACTTCATTAATACCCAATCATATCCGGTGGCATGGAAATCAAGCAACGTGATACCCCCCATAAAAAAGCTGATGAGAATAAGAAATGATATTATGGTCCCATTTCTATCCTTCCAGTTATATCCAAAGTATGTGAAAAAGTTTTGTTTGACCAGATAAACACTGCCATATCTCCGCATTTTTCTTCCAACCTGTCTGGCTTTTTGAAGGGTGACTCTTGGTGTATGGCTTTAATTAAAATCACTGCAGGCCTTCATGATAGAAAGGGTATTGTTGCTATAGCCATCGACCTCAGCAAGGCCTTCGACAGCACCTCCCATAGTTTGCTTATTGCAAAGCTTAAAGCTTATGGGTTTGACACAGATGCCATTAATCTTATGAAGTCTTATTTCCATGGTCGTCGCCAAAGAATTCGACTCGACAACGTTTTTCCTAAGTGGAAGCCAGTCACAGCTGGTGTACCTCAAGGATCTCTACTTGGACCCCTCCTATTCAATATTTTTATCAATGACTTGAACGATCTCATCTCCACTATGTATCTCCGCTTATATGCTAATGATACAACTGAATACTACACAGATCACTCGTCTATGGTTTTAAATTATATCATTAACAGGGAACTTAACGCTATTAAAGAATGGGTTACAGTAAACCATCTATCAATAAACACTGTGAAAACTCAAGCTCTTTTCACTTATAAGTACGAACTTTGGCTAGCGATACTCCGGTGGAAATAAAAGACTCTCTAAAGTTACTAGGAGTCATCATGGACTCGAACCTGACCTTTCAGGAGCGTTTAAAAACCCAGCTTAATAAGGCATATGCTAAGACAAACGCTTTACGTAGAATTAGACGTTTATTCCAGTGCATGTAATGATTCAGTTATATAAGGCTTTTATTCTTCCTCATCTTGAGTATTGTGGCTCAATACTTATTGGAATAACTGAATCTTTATCTGATAAATTAGAAGATGCAAATTACTTTATTCTTAGAACGTCATTAGGTTTACCTAAGTCCACTTCGCATGATAGTATTCATAGATTAATTAACATTCGTACACTAGAACAAAGGAGGTTTTTTCATGTTTTGATCCTACTTTTTACAAGTTTAAGTGAGAACGGTCTTAGTTAGATTAAAGATTTCTTTAAACTTCGTACAGTCAACTATAATCTTAGAGGCTCAGGCACAAAGCTTGAGCAAATTATTTTAATAGCGAGTGGCGCCTTAATTCCTTTGCATCCACAGCCAGCCACCTTTGGAATACTTCACCATACAATGCTAGAATTGCTGGTAATGTGAATACTTTTAGAAATATTTTTTTTATTTTCAGTATTTTGTAATTGCAAGAGCGCATTGTAAACGAGTATGTTGAATGCTCTTAGGCGTTATGTGGATAAATAAACTATCTATCTATCAATCAATGGTTTTCTGCAAGGAACTGTGATACAACGTTCTGTATTTAACTCTTTTTCGACTCTTCTGTCGAGAGTTTTTTCAAATGCCCGAAAATCTGCACGGCACAACGTTAACATGTTTCTTCGTTGGAAGTGCCTACAAAGTGCGAACGGCTAACTTTGTTCAATGTCAACGTCAAATGAGGGAGTGAATGAATTTTATCAATGCGATCGGAAACAACTCAAGGATCTTTTCAATGATAAGTATCCAATTTTTGGTGTTTTGTGGCGTTTTCATGGAAGGTGCCAAGTGGATCACTCGGTGCAGACTGAACAAGATCAAAGACAGTTGGAAATTGAGCGGATGTTTGTTAACGCAAAAAAAGGACATGGGATCAATTCGGAGCTGAACCTACTCTTTTAAGCTTTTTGTGGAAGACAAGCGGCAAACAGAGAAAGACGAGCAAGACGAAGGTAACTCGAGTATGTTTTTTTGAAATCTTGAAATACTGCCTGGTTCGTACTCGCCGCCATTTTGCTTGCGAACATCTTTAAAGAACGTTAATTAACTTGCCAAGGAGTTTGTCGATAGCAGGAGCTGGTATGTTCATAAAATTAAAATTTCCATCGACCAGTTGTTCGCAAAACAGCATTTCGTGTTTCTCAGCGATGAAATCATATAGTTCTCAACTCGAGTTGCCTTCGTCGTGCTCGTCTTTCTCTCTTTCGTCGCTTATCTTCCTCTAAACCTCTAAAAAACCAACTCGAAAGACTGAGATATCTGTTTCTGAGTTTTGTTCCTCTCTTCTGCGCACTTTTCCTTTAAACGTTTTCAAATTTTACGTCAAGAGACATTTTGGTGATCAAAATAGACTTTTGAATTTAATAGGCCGCACAGTGAAATACGTCGGCCAAACAGACCAAACATAGCGCATGAACTAACTGAGAGATATAAAATATAATAAAGACATTGATTTGTAAGGTTAAACAAGTAATTTTAAAAAACGATTTATTGGCAGTATTGTCAACTGGATATGGAAAATCGTTGCTTTTACAGGTTTTGTATCGGTTGGTTGCTGAGGCAAAGGGGTTAAGCCCGCACTTCTCCAAGTACGATTTGTAAGTCGTTAACCCAACTGTTTCTCCGTTAAAACGCCTTACTCGACGACCACATTTCAAGCTTGAGAAATAATAGGGTATGAGCAACGAAGTTAGGGGTTAGAGAGGCCTTTTCTTAAAAGGTAAAAAAGCGGAAAGGTGACTTCAAATACGTTATCAGAACTGATGTTTACTGATTCAAACCAAAGTAAATCACGAACAAGCGTTTAAAATCTATTGTAACGAGTCACCACCGTAAGAACTAAAATGAAAGGTGCAGAGGAATTTCTAACAAGGTCTAGAAAACAGCGAACTACAAATACACTTCAGGTGCTTCAAAAGTCACAAAAAGAACACACTTAAAAGTTATAAGAAAATAACGATAGACAATTTAGTGTATGGCCTTTCCTTTCAAAAATCTTTGGTATTTCGGTACACAACCTGTTAGCGATAAAGTTATACAACGAAAATAATGTTACTTAGTGCGTGATTAAAAATGCCAGTCAAGCGTAAAAAAATTAGTTTTCGCTAACCCTCGAAAAGTTAGATAAAGAGTCTCTTTACGGTGACCAATTTATCAACATAGTTGATAGAAACCAAATCATCTTGTATAGATCCCCTAATGACGCAGCAACACAATTACTCGAGAAACTTACCCCTCTATTCACAAATTGTTTTGGTCTCGTTCCTGTGTGTTTGTTTCGAGGTAATTAAAATTCAATATGGAGACAACTTATGCTCCGGTCGATCCTGTGATTTGTCATAAATTTTAGGGCTCTCTCTCTCTCTCTCTTGCCTAAAACTTACCCTGAAGGTTATTATCTGCCTTGGCTTAACTGCAGAATACCTCGCCACTTTGGTCCACCTCATTTACATGTGTCGGGAGGCTTTAAAGATCGAGGAATAACACAATAAACGTTATTCTTATTCAATGACATGTAAATGAGTGGCAGGGTATTCTGCAGTTGCTCCTCTGCCTTTCTAAAGCAAAAGGTATTAAAAAAAAATTAAAAACTAACGCTCATGTGCGTTTTATAAAAATTTGATTGAAGGCAAAGGTAGGGGCATTTTAGGAAGGACAGCTTCTTTATGATATTCAATAAAACATATAGAAACATGCAAAAGATCTGTACATAAAGGTTACATTCCTTTACAAGAGAGCCTGTGACCCTGGATTCTGCTGCTGTCCAGGAAAAAGTCAAAGACGTTGCAAAATGATCTCTTAAACACTCGTATATCTTGGAGAGAACGACCGAAAAATGATTGAGCAATTTTTCATGAAACTGACGGTAAAAAATCAACAACGGAAGCTGATGTGGCTTCTTGGCAGGGAAACCATTGCCGCCATGAATACCAGCAACCTAAATTGATGTAGTGAACTTTTCATCATCCATGGGGTCAAAGCTGTTCCGAATGAAGGGTCAAGGTGTTTTCCGTCCTGAGAGAACAATGAATAACATCTCATCAGATACTTTGAACCCGCTCCCCTGAGTTTTTTTTTCTAAAATGAGTTTACCTTAACGACTGCTTTGCTCAGCAAAAATATAAATATGCAAATCTAATATTCAGAGGTTCACAAAATCAATGGCAAGAGAACAAAAATCGATGGCAAACTGAATTCAGAATGGCAGTTATAGAGCTTCTGAACATTCATTCTCTTAGGACTAGGACTAGGCAGGAAAAGCGATTGGCATAGGGTGGAGAGGGTGGCAGTCGATGTTATAGGATCAACCCCAGTCTTTAGGTTTCCCCCGACAGTTTACTGGTACCAATACACTCTCCTAGGTAGAGAGAAAAACTGCAAGCTAGGAGTAAAGTGTCTCATTCAAGAAATTGATGAAGTGATTCGTTTAGGCTTTCTTAGTTGCCATAATCTTTGCCTCTCTATTATTTAACAACATTCTTTTAATATCCATAATTTCTTCGAGGGGCAATTATAATTGTAATTAACATATTGTATTATGTAATAACTGTGACGACATCACAAAATCTAGATTCAATGTATTTATCTTAAATTGTTATTTCACAGTCCCTCCAGAAATTACTGACCCACCAGAACCAAAGCCTTTACTTGCCACCGGAGAAAACCATACTTTGACCTGCAATGCATCTGGTGACCCTCTTCTCAAGATTTCTTGGACAAAAGATGGCGTTCCTGTGGATAGGTTTAATGTGAGAGGTTACCAGCTATATTTGCTTAGCGTGAAGTTGGAGGATGTAGGATCATACGGTTGTAAAGCTAGTAATGGATATGGAGATAATGCCACCAGTGTCAGCATCGTTGACATAAGATGTAAGTAGTCTGTCCTGTTTATCTGATTACAGCAATGCATTTGTAAGTTGGTTAATATGCTTTGATTTTAGACAGACACAAATGTATTGTGATTCATGTTTGAACTGCTAAACAACAGAATGGCGTGGAATTAGCACAATATAGAAAAAAAGTATTTGCTTTCTGTCATTTTGAGATGTAAATACTGTTTTTTTTGTTTAGATTGTCCTTGTGCCGAGCATAAAGGTGTCTGTTTCTGTGAAACAGTTTTTTTCATCATTTATGCATTTGCTTTGACAGAGTTCAGAACCAGCTTTGTCATGTGGGCGTGAATTGACTGGATAATACCCAGTAATAAACAACAAACTATCGCCTTCTTTATTTCTACTCCCGCTTCCCGCCCTCTCCCGCCCCCTGTCTCCCGGGGTCTGCCTGGATACTTAAGACATCTTCTCATACAAAACTCTACTCTAATAAAGGATAAGCCTTTCTTCAATGGCTAATTGGAGCAATTTGGTAGCCATTCGGGTTCGAAAAATGTTCTTTCCGGGACAAACTACCGAAACAAAAAGTTTTAATGACATTTATTTGCTAAAAACCTTCTTCAACCCATAAAAAAATCACCAGTTGAGGGTATAAATGGTTAAAGCAAAAAATAAATAAATATATAAAAGTGGAAACTAGTATTGAAAGTGTCGTGGCCAACAGTCCATTTTCAGTGGCTTTGGCAACCAGCTGGTCACAATTTGAGACGCTACTTTCTTTATAATAAACTGATTTGCATGTTGTACGTTACTGAGAGACAAGTTTGCTTGTCACACTATTTCTCCTTGCTCCTGCCCTTGCATAATGATCGTTTAATTAGGAGCATTGGAATAACATTACAGAGTGAAGTTTGGACTTCAGCCTTTAATAATAGAGAGCAGTTGAGTTCAAAATATTGGAGTCAAAGCTTTTATCAGAAGTAAGTATCCTGTTGCATTTACAAAGCACGTTTGGTGACCATATCAGGACGAGAAACCCCTTTTATTTAATCTGTTCACCATAGAGTGGTGATTTACTAATTATTGATGTTTGAGTATAAAATGCCTTGCAATTCCTCTCTTCCAGTACTGGCTGACTTGTTAGTATCCTACTTATCAATCTAAGATGGCGACAATAATCTTTGTAGGAATGATTAAATAAAATTTATTTTCATAGCTCTGCTCTTCATTCAACATTCAGTGAAGAGTTTTCCTTGACTATGCGTTACAAGGATGCTAGAGTTACAAGCAAAGCAGACTTTTGAATTGTAATGAATTAGCTGACAAACCTGTGGGAACTAGTAGACTGGTCCTTTTCTTTTAAGGCAAAGTACATCTAATTTAAAATTAAATTTAGATACTTGGATTTCAATTTTGGGTTTCTTGACACGAGAACAATTTTACAGCGTGTATATTAGCTTAGCGGAGATCTGTCCTCTTCGTGCCTCTACGCGTCTTCTCCAGGGTAAGTGATTTGGCGGATATGTCCGAGTATTCATCTGCCTCGGTGGTTCACGTCTATTCAGGACGCTGTCAAAGTGCTCCTCCCACTCAGTGAGTTTCTGGTTCTCCTTGCAGATGGCGTTTCTCTTCTGGTATTTCACTGACCCGCCATCGTTGCGAAATCCGTCGTTGGACTTTTGTTGATACTGCTATTTGCATTCTGGTCTTAAGCAGTTTTTCCGAAAAAACTCTTATCACTAGGGTGTGGACACTGACGACATCTGCTCCTCTGTAGTCCTTGACGTCAGGCGAAGAGCTCTTTCGCTTTCCGTTGATTAGGATATGATCCATTTGGCTTTTCAGGGCTTCGGTGATGTCCATGTAAATTTTGTGAATGTTCTTGCGGTGAAAAGGCGCCTGCTACTTCTAGGTTTGATGTCTTCATAAAAGTCACCCAGTCTTTCCCCATCGTCATTCATTGTTCTTACATCGCGTACCCCGATCCTGGGTCTCTGCCTGTGTTGTCTTCTCTTTTTCTGTCGTTCAGGTCACAGTGTTCATAGTAGGGGGTCTTCTTTTTCTATACCTCGCTGTCAGTTTGGTGTACTTTGAGTTGTAGCGAGCATCAAGCAATCTTAGCAAATGGCTATACAAAAACTTTTCTCCGTAATTGCCAAAAAACAGTTACAAATAGTAACGCCCTTGATGAAAGGGAACCAGCGATTGGTTTTGCTGTTATTCCTTACATACAGGGTGTTACGGAACCCATCAAGAGAATTTTGAATAGCCACAACGTTAAAGTTGCTCAATAACCTTTTCAGACTTTGGAGCAAATTTTCGCCAAACCTAAGGATCCTGTCACGAAAGAACGACGAACCGACGCCATTTATTCTATTCCTTGCAATGACTGTGACAACGAATACATCGGACAGACCAAACGTCAGTTTGGTACACGGTTAAAAGAGCACCAAAAAGCGGTTTTTCTATGCAAAAAGGAAAATTCAGCTTTATCGGAGCATACATGCCTAACCAACCATACAATTGGGTGGGATAATTCTAAAATTATCACCACTTAACGGCGTTACCACCAGCGCCTTTGTTTGGAGGCTTGGCATATTAACTCCGCCCACGCTCCTTTAAATCGAGACGATGGCGGTTTGCTTCCTGACGCCTATTAACACCTCATCAGAAAAAAGGCCGCTAATTAGTGATCATATAAAAGGACCTCTTGTTGCAACGTTTAGATCACCCCTGATGAAGGCACTAGACAGGAGTGTCGAAACGTTGGGTCTATGAATTGTAACTTCTTCGGTTACATTCATTAAATCTGCAAACCAGAGTAGCATCAAACTATGTCTGATTGTCCACCTGGTTGCCGTGTGAACTTTAATATATTTTAAATCTTAGTCTTGTTTGCTGGCATTCAGTGAGTGTTTTTCCACATTGCTACTCATGATCATGGCCACTGCTTCTGTGTGCCAGTCATCTTCTCTGCCCAAATAGAGTATGGTGAGGCCTAAAACTAGTTTCCCTTTCCCTGTTCTTCTACATCAGGCTTCACTTATTTCAAGGATGTGTAGATTTTAGTTGTCAGCCTCTTGCCCAACCCTCCTCCTTCCACATCCAGGTTTTGGACCGGCATAGACTGAGTTAATGTAGATAACTGTGACCCACATTTATATCTGACTGGAATTCACTTGCTTATTTGCTGAGGTTACAGAAGTGCTACTCTGACTTCCGGCGCAATAAATTTAACAAGGTGTCGTGCGAAAACTGTTCTTCCAAAGAAAAATTTAGATAAACCTTGATAATGTTCCAAGGAAAAAATGTTGAAAAGTTATCATGATGGTTATCATGACGAAATTGGTAGCCTCACATGTGACGATGTCAGTGATACTTTTACTGCAAGCTGTGAATCCGATCTTGAATTCACAACAAAAGAAATTCTGATATTCATCGATATCTCTAAGGTAAATCATTAATCATGTTTCTTTCTCTCTAAAATGCCGATTCATGTTTATTCAATATTCTTTTTTATATCTACCCTTCAAAAGAGTAGGGTAAAGGTGCGAGACAACCTTTTTTTCTCTGTTTTCTATGACAAAAGTATCTTAAACACATTTTTTTGCCTCATGCTGAATTTTTTTTACTTCAAGAAAAACTAATCTCATAGTTAAATATCTTTTTTGGTTCCGTACAAATATTTCTAATGATTGCTCACTCTTTTCCAGCTCCAGTTCCCTTTACAAACTTCACAACCACAGGTGAGAGACAAACCCCATTTATTTTCAAATCAATGAACTCTTAGTGATTTAATCGTCGATTTTCAATTTTTCTTTCGCTTAACTTTATCCAAAAGCGTTTGCAAATGATTTTGTTCTTTATTGTCGAGTAAGTTTTTAGTGTTACTTTCACGCACTGCGCGAAAATGCAAATTTTATCTTTCCTTTGTAATAATATCTATTGATGTTTGGCTTCGCGACTCAAGAGAAACAGCGTCAACAATTCGAATCCAAACTGCGTATGTGAGGTCCTGCTTACCATGCAGATATTAGTTGCCTACATATTTATCAGACTGAATGCAGAGATCACTTGCACGTTAGCTGAGTTTGCAGGAGAGCTACTTCAACTTCCGACAAAAAAATGAAACAAGTATTCGCCTAAGAGAACCTCTGTTATTTCTATTTATTGAACATGCCAATACTTGATTAGGTATATGTATATGTATATGTACCCTTAACATAGTGTGCTGCAAATGTACAAGACAAACTCGTTAATTGTTTTCTGTTTTCTAAGTTAAATTAGCTTTACCAAAATTGTCTACTTTATGTTGAAGTTGTTATTATTTCAAGAAATTCTAATCTCGTAATTTAATAATTCGTTATCCTTTGTGCCTATGAAACATGCCTACTGATTGCTTAATCCTTTTCCAGCTGTCCCCTTTACAAACGTTATGTCCACAAGTAAGAGACAGCCTTATTATTTTGAAATTAACTTATTTTTTAGCTGTTAAAAGTGGCGTGCCTAATTTCCTTTGATGATATAAGTGGTTATCAACTGGTAAATTTAATTATTAATAGCTAAAAAGGTTTCATTTCACAACATGTAAAATTATACCTTAATATTTCAATAATCTCTATTTAGTCGTTCCCTTAACAAGCAGTACGGCCTCAGGTGAGAGGGAATCCGTTTCTTTTCAAATCCTTTGCTATTTAAATTATTGATTCTCAATATGACTTGAAAACAACCTTTTTGAAAAGCCCTGAGAAATAAGTTTATGTATATCATTGGATCTCGTAGTTTAATATTTTGTCACCCTATGTACCATGCAAATAAGTCTAATGATTGCTTATTATTTTCCATCTTTTCCCCTTACAAAAGTCTCGGCCAAAGGTGAGGAGTAACATTGTATATTTTCCAATCAACTAACTTTTTAGTCGTGAAATATTAGATACCAAATGTCTCTCTCAGTTTTCTTGTTTATAGATGCGAAATTGGTTATTTCTGAATAACCTAAGCAAATTGGGAAATGGCTTACTTAACAAATAACCAAATACCTAAATGTGTTTATTTGCTAAATGACCAAATTGCAAAATTGGTTATTAAACAAATGACCAAAAGCATAAGTTCGTTTATTGGGTAAGTAATGAAAATGCATAATTGGTTATCAGACAAATAACCAAAAAAATAAATGTGGTCAATGGCCAAATAATCAGATTGCGAAATTGATTTTTTAACAAGTAACCAAAAGCATAAATTCGGTTATTTGCTAAATAAGCAAAATGAAAAATTGGTTTTTTCAACAAGTATCGAAAAACGTAAATGTGGTTACTTGCTAAATAACCAAAAGGGTTTAATTGGAAAAACAGGTTATTTTATGAATAACCAAAAGATTTTCACTGCTTATTCAATAAATACCCTATGGATGAAAGAGGTTATTTACGAATCACATACTTGATAGATGTTTGTTATTTTGAGTGCAAAAATGGTCATTTAACAGAACTGGTTACTTACCTTAGTTGGTCTTATTACGTAGCCACGTGGACCATCTACCTGTTCATTTCATATAGTTACTGGCGGTCTTCCATTTTCACATAGCCTCATCCAACGTGGATGAAATTGTTGAAAGAATTTCAAGTGCTGTGTTTAATGCTCTTTTAGAGAAATTTTCAGAAACAGGTATGTGTCAAGGGAAATTGGGAAGATTTCCATATAGCCTCATCCATTCTAAAACAGATCCGTTGTCCCAAGGGCAATCTATTGCTTTTGCCATTATTTTCTTTATCTAAAACAGTATGCATAATGAGGTACAGACTTTGCGGAAATAGTGCCATGAAATATTATTGTGTCTTGTTTTAGGAAATGTTGTGTTAGCAATTAATGTTCAACAGAAAGTAAGGCTTAGGAACATACTTGATATGGTCTGTTTGGATGATGAAAAATATTTTTGTGCTTCTAAGCGGTAAATACATTTTCCTATCGTGAGGTTTGATTATTTATTG